AGTGTGAGTGTGAGTGTGAGTGTGAGTGTGAGTGTGAGTGTGTGTGTGTGTGTGTGAGTGTGAGTGTGTGTGTGAGTGTGTGTGTGAGTGTGTTATACCAGCGCTCTTGTCCAGGAAGTAGGCGAGGAGGCAGCGCATGACGGCCTGGTGGCAGATGACCAGCACGTTGCCTTGTCTCTCCAGCTCCATGATTACTGGCTCCAGCCGCTGCACCAGATCCTGATAGGACTACAGCAAGAGAAGAGCAACAAAACTCGCTGCTAGATATGAATGATTTTCTCTTTGTTTGAAGAAATTAATAGTTTTATTCAGACAGGATGCATTAAATTGAACAAGAGTAACAGTACTAAAGACCTTTATGTTACAAAAGATTTCTATTTCAAATAAATGCTGTTCTTTTAAACTTTCTATTCATCAAAGAGTTCTGCAAATAAAATGTATCATGGTTTTCACAAAAGCAGCACAACTGTTTTCAACATTGATAATAATCAGAAATGTTTCTTGAGCAGCAAATCAGCATATTAGAATGATTTCTGAAGATCATGTGACACTGAAGACTGGAGTAATGATGCTGAAAATTCAGCTTTGATCACAGAAATAAAATACATTTTAAAATATAATCAAATAGAAAACAGTCATTTTAAATTGTAGTAATATTTCACAATTTTACTGTTTGTATTGTATTTATGATCAAAGAAATGCAGCCTTGGTGAGCAGAAGAGACTGCGTTCAAAAAGTGGGAGTGAATTCTTTTGAGTTGATTCTTTTCGGTGAATCAGTCTGAATAGTTCATTAGTCAATCAGTCTAAATCTGAATCATTAAAGGTCATGAAAAAGTCATGAAGAGTTATTATTAAAACGTGGGAACTCTAAATGGCACATCAGGTGTTATAACGGTACAGAACACACCTCTCCTCCTGGGTATCTGTAGTGGTATTTGTCCTGGTCTCTGAGAGAATATTCATCTGGGTATGTTTCTTTTATCTTTTCATATGTCATTTCCTCACAGATGCCCTGATATAAAACATAAACACACATTAAAAATAACAATGCACAAACAGCACAAATGTTTCTCTGTCATCAATTCAGATGTTTTGCAATAAAGTGATTGTTTTTTTCTTTTTGCAATATAAGCAATAGTTCACCCAAAAATAAATATTTGCTGACAATTTAGTCATCCTCAGCAGGCCATCCAAAACGTACAGTGGATGAGTTTGTTTCTTCATCAGAACAGATTTGGAGAAATGTAGAATTCCATCATTTGCTCAGCAATGGATCCTCTGCAGTGAATGGGTGCCGTCAGAATGAGAGTCCAAACAGCTGATAAAAATAATCCACACCACTCCAGTCCATCAGTGAACATCTTGAGAAGCCAAAAGCTGCGTGTTTGTAAGAAACAAATACATAAAGACGTTTTCACTTCAAACCGTCGCTTCTGGCCAAAATACGAGTCCATAATAAAGCTTCCTCCAGTGAAAAAGTCATCTCCTGTTGTCCTCCCACATAAAAATCCACTGATATTATTTGTTTAGAACTGTTTTGGACTGGTTTCTCTCGTAAACGGTGCTTGATCTGTGCAGATTTCTCTCCTGATTCAGACCAGATGACTTTTTCACTGGAGTAAACAATATTATGGACTCGTATTTTAGCTGGAAGCGATGATTTGAAGTTAAAAACATCTTAATAATGGATTTGTTTCTTACAAACACACAGCTTTTCACTTCTCAAGCCATTAACTGATGGACTGGAGTGATGTGTGGATTATTGTGATGTTTTTATCAGCTGTTTGGACTCTCATTCTGACGGCACCCATTCACTGCAGAGGATCCATTGGTGAGCATGTGATTTATTGCTACATTTCTCTACATCTGTTCAGATGAATAAACAAACTCGTCTACTGTACGTTTGGTAACACTTTACTTGAAGGGGTGTGCATAAGACTGACATGGCACCTTCATAATCATTCAAATAATGTCATATTTGCATTAAAAATGACATAACTGAGCGAATGACACTTAATGACAGTTGTGACAGCAAGTGATTTATTGCTACATTTCTCCAAATCTGAAGAAGAAACAAACTCATCTACATCTTGGATGTCCTGAGGGTGAGGACATCTTTAGCAAATTAATTTTCAATTTTGAGTGAACTGCTCCTTAAAAGCATTAAATAAACATCTACCTTATTTCCCACTTATGTGGAAGCAGACTTTTATTGCACTCATGGCAAAGTTTTCCCAGTTATATAGCTGAATTCATTTTGGTGTGGTAAACGAGTTAAATATGACACACCTCCATTAAACATCTGACTCAAATTGACTAATTGCCTGTTAACAGAAAACACCTCTTTTTTATCACGGTAAGTAATGAAGAACAGCCCAGTGTTCATATGAAAACCAGAGGCTGCTGCTGTAATAAAAACAGTGGCAGGAAACTCACGGCGTCGATCTCGTTGAGGATTTTCCACTGCTCATACGGGACGCCCAGCTCCTCGGCCGTCTGGATGGTGCGTCTGAGCTGACTGGTCCACACCTTCAGGTCTGGGATCTTCTGGTTTTCCAGGAACCCACGCAGGGCTTTAGAAAACTAACACAGAGCGGGAAAGATGTTAAAAAGCCCACAAACATTTCTCACCCACCTGTGGTAAAGGACTGACCCAGAGCATGCTGGGAAGCAACACAGGGTGACTATGAAAGTGGCTTTACATGTGCTACAGTAAAAAAAAAAAAAACATGATTAACAAATACAAACAACACTGTTTTATTATAGTTAACTAAAACTAAAACCTAAAAAATTCTAATTAAAAAAAGAATGTATGAATGAATAGATAAATAAATGAATTAAATAAATAAAAGTAAAAAAAATAATCTATAAATGTTATAGTAAAATAAAATATTAAAGACATGCATATGTTGCCAAGGCAACATTTCTAATTTTCGTTTAGTTTAACTTGATGTACTAAAATAACTAAAACGAAATGAACTTAAACAAATAAAACATTATAAAAATTCTATTAATAAGAATATTATTTTTATTATAATAATAACAAAAAAAACTATATAGTTATACTTTAAGAAAACTAGTAAAAATGACAAAAGCACACAACAAAATTACTAGAAATTCAAATAAAATTAAAGTGAAAACAAAAAACATAAAAATAAAACCTAATTCAAAATATTAACAAACACTATAACACAGCCCTGCAATATAAAAAAAATTCTTCTGATTTGCATAAAATGCTACATATTACCAAATGTAATGATACGGAGTTAAAAAATAATAAAAAAAGCTTTTTTGCACTTATCAAAATAACAAAAGCAGTCAAATGTCAAAAGCTTCTATTTTAATGATGAATAGAATAATTCAGAATAATTCATACATGTGAAAATGGGCTTTGAATTGAACAAATAGTTGTAATTTGACTCAGATGAAGACGGGAATCATGTATTTGTGGCAGTTTTTCTGCTGATTAAGTTTAATAAAAGACGACTTCACCTTAAAAATGGTTGTCGAAAGCAAAAATGTTACAAAATGCATCATATTTTGTAAGATAGTGTGATGTGCTTGAGCAAAACAGCCGTTATTTTTGGAATCAGCACCTCAAAATGAGTAAGAAACATGCACTGGATTTCATTCATCAAATATGATGCAGGGCAGTGTTCCAGTATATCAGTCAGTACGTGTACATGGACAACAATACTAAAATAAAAATGACAAAAACATTAAATAAAAATTAGAAGTGCTGCTTTAGCAGCTAATTGAAATATATACACTTAAGTCGAAGTACTAAAACTAAAACAGAATTAAACGAAAACTATAACTAAAATATAAATATTTAAAAACTAAGAAAAATTATAAAACAGAACAAAATTACTATAAGTAAATTTAAAATTATTTGTTATTATTTTAGATTTCCATTTTTCAAAATATTAATAAATACTAGAACAATACAGAAGTAAATAATAAACTAACATTGTTGATTAAAACAAGAGTTAAAGGTACAATATGGACTTTTCGCCGCATTTTGCAACAGGATACACACACGGCAGTGCTCAACCGTTTGACGGCAAATAAAAGAGCTTCAACACTGCCATCGCCTGTATGCACGTACAAATAATTAACTGCACTTGAAACCTTCATAAAATGAAAAATGAAACACCCAAAACTGTACATGGCATCATCACGAAGACGAACTATATGTTTATGCGTGAAATACCGGAGGGGACGTCGGATGGCGTCACGTGGGACGTAATGACGTGCGCCATTAATCGAACTATGTACTATAACATGTAAAATGGGAACATGAAAGGAATATTCTAAAAGCAACTCATGTAAACACCATAATCATAATATTGGCTTATTTAGAATAAGGTAAATAATTCGATTACTGATGTCCATGTAAACGTAGTCATAGATACTGAAATAGTGACTTTCAGAGTTTAGTCTTAGCCTCCATTCAATAAATACACCTTGAGATTTCAGTGGTATGTTTGCCCCTGTATGTTTATAATTAGCAACCATATACTCTTTGATAGTAATTACCCCTGTTGGTGCTAATATGGGGTCTATAGGTCTATTCTAGAAGTGTTTCATTTCCTGTTGAAGTTACAATGGTGCATGTTTAAGAAGCACTGCACCACAAGACTCTTTGACCGCCAAGAGAGTTTGAGAGTCTAATTTCTTCATTTCTCTTTTGTTTGTTCTTTTTTAGTCATACTTTTATTTCTGTGACTTGTGAGGTCTCTGCTTTTCCTGAATGTCATTTGTTATGTGTTGTACAGGAATGAATAAGGTGGAGGAGAAGTTGAAAGCAGGTCGGATGAAGAGGGCGGATAAAATTAAAGTGAAAACAAAAAACATAAAAATAAAACCTAATTCAAAATATTAACAAACACTATAACACAGCCCTGCAATATAAAAAAAATTCTTCTGATTTGCATAAAATGCTACATATTACCAAATGTAATGATACGGAGTTAAAAAATAACATAAATAACTCTGTTAAAAAAATTATATATATATATAAAATTTAAGTTACATATATTCATATAAATTATATGTACACAGTACAAAACTGTACATGGCATCATCACAAAGACGAACTATATTTTTATACGTGAAATTCCGGAGGGGACGTCGGATGGCGTCACGTGGGACGTAATGACGTGCGCCATTAATCGAACTATGTACTATAACATGTAAAACGGGAACATGAAAGGAATATTCTAAAAGCAACTCATGTAAACACCTTAATCATAATATTGGCTTATTTAGAATAAGGTAAATAATTCGATTACTGATGTCCATGTAAACGTAGTCATAGATACTGAAATAAGCCATATTCCGCCCATCTATCTATGAAGTGCACCTGTTTTCCTCTGCTGGAGAGCTCCGAGTCTCCTCCGATGCAGCTCTGGACGTTGTGCTGGCTCTCGCCGTGGCGGCACAGGTAGATGGAGTGCTTCTGAACGTGAATATTCATGAGGTAGTAGACGATCTTGCTCTGAATGTAATCCTGAACACGGTTCACCAGGAAACGCTGGCCCACGTTGATCACCTGGATGAAGGACAGGTCCCTGAAAGAGCCCCAAAACAACCATGAAATGGCTTTACGGATGCCTTTGCAAACTGTTATCATTAGCTCATCCATGAACATGATTTCTGCCCAAGTCCCGTCGGATTGCATCGGCTGTGGGGATGAAGACCACAACTCCCATGATTCCACACTCAGTCACGCCGTCATCAAACTACGCCTTCGTCTATTTGTTTATTTTGAATACACGCCCTCCAGCGGCAAAAATTACATATTGTGCCTTTAAATCTACAAATAAATTCCAGGCACATGAATGTGGGTTTTCCACTTATTTCTGTATAATTAAATATACTGTACCATACTTTTGTTTCCCTATTTGGACCTCACATTAGTGAAGCATATAATAAAGTGTACAAACAAAGAACACTGTAGGTTGCAAGTTGAATTGAACAGTTTTCTGGATGTTGTATGAGCAGTTTCACAGCAGAGAATAAAAGCTAGTGGAAGAAGTCTGAAGGCAGCTGTGTCTGCAACCACTACAATGGGTTACAATTTCCCAAGCATTGGCAGATTATTCTCCGATTAAAGCCAAAAGCTACTCCTGAGGAATCTCACGAATGCCTTGGACTGTCCAAAACATCCATATAGATTTTTCAGAGATTCTAGGTTAATATTTGAATATCCACATTATTTGAACACAAACTTAATCAATTAGAAAGTATTTAGAGGCATTTATGATATAGTATTATCATCACCAAACAAAACCAACGTGCCAGAATACTAACAAAATAAATTCAGTACTGTACTGCTCTCTGCTGGAGACTGAGTGACATGACAACAGAAAAGCCAAAGCTGGTGTTTAGGTCACGGATCAACAGCTGAAATTAAATATTATCATATAGTTTCCCAAAAATTATAAAATATACAAATAAGTAATAATAAGTAATAATAATAATAAAAAAAAAAAAAACATGTTTGCCCAAAGGACAAGTCTTGCCAAATGTCTCCTCCGAGATCAATCAGCTACTGGATGTGTTGGAAAAATAATAAATGGAAAGATAGCCTATATAATAAAGTCATACTTGTCATGGTCATCTGGGTCTAACGGCTGATATGTGACTTTATAGCACTCGATTCTCTTCAGGAAATCCTCCATCACGCTCTCTCGGTCTCTCTCAGGATAATCAGGGCTGGAAACCTTCACATCCTGCCATCAAATTAATGATGTGTTATGAAATTAACAGGAGCTCACTGCTGTCCAACGATATTAACTTCATTTTACTCATCATCAGGATATATAAGTTTACCTATAACTTTACTTTTATAAATAATCAGGGGAAAATGTGTTGACTTTAGGTGTGCAATGTGTATATTTCTTTTCTTTCTTTTTATTTTTTAGAATTTAATCATTTTAAATAGCTTTTTTTTTAAAGCTCAAATATTTCCTGCAGTCTCTCAATTAATGTGAGCTCCTAAAAGCTGCATAATTATAATAAAATGAAGAAGGAAAAAAAAAAAGTTAAATTTAGTCATTTAGGAGACCCTTTATCCAAAGCGACTTATAAATGAGGACAACAACTAAACTTTTAACATAAAACATTTTATGTTATATAACCTCGAAAACTTTTTCTGATATGACAGCAGTGATAAATATTAACGGTGACACTCACCAGTATGCTGGCAGCAATGACTTCTGGGTCGTCACACAGCGACTCGACAAAAAACACCTGGAAACAAAAGCAAAAATAATCCCATCAAAGACTGCAAGAAGGTTTCTATTCAGGTTTATGAAGGGCAAACTAGGCTGCGGAGGAGCTTTATTGATCTCTGGATGCTCTGAACACTCCCTGACGACTGAGACATATACAGATACAGATACAACTGCTAATATTTCAGTAAGACAATGATATTCACACATCCTCTGACCTTATATGCACTTTCCTTCACAAAACTCAGGATGAGGCTCCTTCTCTCTCTGGTTGTGTTTGTGGCATCAAAAACCTGACGAGAAGTGAAATGAGGAAATATCTCATCAAATATAATCAAACTATTAGAATAATTTGCTTACGTCACAAGTGCAATTAAGTGTCATAGAAACCTCTAAAGCATTTTTAATAGATTGTAATGACATTGATTTATTTTATGCTCTTTTTGACTGGTATAGAAATTGGTATGGCAAATATTTATGAAATGAAGGTATGGATCTGAGTTTTTCTAAAGACAATGTGATATGATGAAATGTTTAAACAGCATCTGGGGCAGTGATATTTTAATTTTATTGATATATTATTATAGTATTCATTAATCATTTGAATTAGCTTTATTTTTATATTTTCATTCTAATAATTTTCTCACTTTAAGTAGTAATTTTATTTTTTTAATATTTCTGTTTAGCTTTAATTTATTTTTATTTTAGTTTATAGTATTTTCATTTTAGTTTATATTAGCTAGTTGCCAACACAGCATTTTAATTTCTTTTAATATTTACATCTAGCTTTCATTTATTTTAATTTGTATTAGTTTTATTATGTTTTTGTCATTTTTTTTTATTTTTTTTTTATATTTCTGTTTAAATTGATTTTCATTCCAGTTTTTAGTAGTTTTAATCATTTTAGCACTTGATCTTAAACGTATTTCAGTTAGTTGCCAATTTTAATATTAATTTAAATCATAGTGATTCTATTATGAACTTTTGCCATTTTTATATATTTTTTAAAATATTTATATTTAACTTTAATTTATTTTTATTTTAGTTTTTAGAAGTTTTAATAATGTTAGTACTTCAACAAACTTTTTTTAGTTAGTTGCCTATTTTATTATTAAGTTGTAATAATTATATTATGTGATTTTGTCTTTTTTTTTATTTCTATTTAGCATTAATTTACTTATATTTCAGATTAATTTTTTAAGTAGTTTTATTTATTTCCGTTATTTGCCAAAGCGGCATTCCTAATTCTATATTTTCCATCTAATTTTATATTTTATTTCAGTTTCATTTCTATTAACAAAAATAATTTTAATAACATTGACACCACTGATCTGATGCAACGATACACTTTGAAACAACTGCATATTTATGCAAGACAAATAACACAAAACACTCCAGCACACAAGTGATTAATATTTGAGCTAATAAATGAAGAAATTCTAGTTTCAGTATGTGTGAAGTCCAAAGAGCAGAACTTACAGCGATCTGCCCTCCCTCCTCATTCAGATAAGATTTCACATCCTGTAGAGCCACGATGGCACACTGTCTGTGAGAAACAAGAGACGGCCAATCATCAGACCAGAACCAGAACTGCCACAATCACATTCAACTCAACAGCACCAGCAGATGATGCCGACAGACACTGACTCGATTTATCAGCACCGGTTTGAGGAAACAATGTACATCAAATCGGAATCAATAAAATAAAATAAAAGGTGTTTATTCTTGCTTATTAGAAACATAGTTTGTTGTGAATATGACAATATGTCATAGTGCAACTCAAAACTTCCTCCTGATCATTTCCTGAAATGACTGACACAGACTGCTGTAGAAACATCCTCTTGTTGTCAGAGGTATTTGTGTAATGCAGGTGTAACGTTGTGGATACTCACTTCCTGATTTTCATGGCCTCTTTATTGTCGTGACGGAAGAAGTCGTAAGACTTGTACGACTGTACCGCCTCACGTCTATAAACGCCTAGGTTAAAAACTGACAGAAACACACAACCATTACCAACATAAAGGGAAAGCAATAGTCTTTTAGGAAACTTCAGAGTCAAACATAATAGTGTAATATTTTATAGATCCAGTGCCAATGCTAGAAACATACCAAGACTAGAAAGGTATAAATTCATAATTTTGTGTTTACATCTTGCAATTGTTTTTTTTTTTTCTGTGAGTTTTTATCTCACAATTCTGACTTTGCAAGTTATAAACCAGTAAAATTGCTAGTTTGCACCTGTTTCGTTTCTGCGAGGGAATTCAAAAATAAAAAAAGTAATTGTGAGTTTTTAATCTCGCAATTCTTACTTTTTCTCACAAATGCAAGTTCATCTCACAATTCTGACTTTTTCTCGCAAATGCAAGTTTATATCTCGCAATTCTTACTTTTTCTCGCAAATGCAAGTTTATACCTCACAATTCTTACTTTTTCTTACAATTGGGAGTTTATATCTCAAAATTATGACTTTCTCACAATTTAAAGTTTATATCTCACAATTCTTACTTTTTTCTTTCAATCGCAAATGCAAGTTTATATCTCGCAATTCTGACTTTTTCTCGCAAATGCAAGTTTATATCTCGCAATTCTGACTTTTTTTCTTTCAATTTTGATTGTCTTTTTTCTCAGAATCGCAAGTTATAAACTCGTAAATGCTAGTTTGCATGTCGCAAACCTATTTACACCATGAAATAAAAATTTTACACATTTCTCTTCTTCTCAGAATTGCATGTCACAATTCAGAATGAGGGGGAAAAAAGTCAGAATTGTTCAATTAAAAAGTCGCAAATAGCTTTTTAATTTTTTTTTTATCTTGTGGTGGAAACAAGCTTCCTGAAAACCATGTAATAGTTATATTGAGTTAAAAATTATTTAACTTTTTAAAAATTATTTGAATCAATTCAGATGATTAATTCTTAATGTTTTAATTTAAGAAATAATTTTGGTGTTTCATCCCCAGGAAAACTGCATACGTAATTATAATAAATACAGAAGTATGTTGAATGAGCTCATTTATCTCTCACCTTTCGTGGGAACCCCGATCCAGTTGAGGTATCGAGTCAGCTTCTTGGATATGTATGTCTTTCCTCTGGCGGGAAGGCCGATCAATACGATGACAGTAGGGGAGTTAGTCATGTATGACGCCCATGCTATGAAAACAAACATACACACATCATTTACTTTTAACAATTCCCTTCTCAGTGCAGGACAAACCAGCATGATGATATCAGACGAACATTCTGTTAACAGGTCATCATATTTATACTCATAACAGTTGCACACAGTTCAGATGTTTCTCATGCCTGGAAATAAGTGACGTTCATGAGGATTACACTGAGGGCATGAAGCTTTCATGCTGCTGAAGTTATTGACATCATTTCCTTATCAATTATGCAAGAGCGTAGCCTGAGGCTTCCTGTAGTTAATAACTGCCACATGTTTCTGAGAACGAAACAGCAGCTCAACAACAAACCCATATACCCACCATGCATACATATAATATTATTTCTACATTATTATGGTATTTATTAACATTTTGAATTTGCTTTCATTTTTATATTGTCAATTTTAAGTTTTTGTAACTTTGTTATATGCTTTTGCACTTTGTAGATTTTTTGGTAATATTTCTATATAGCTTACTTGATTTTATTTAATAATTTTGTACATCAGCTTAAACCTATATATTTTAGTTAGTTGCCAAGGCACTATTTTTAATTTTATTTTATTGTAAGTTTCATTTCATCTAATATTTTTATTTTATATTACATTTAAAATAAAATGATTTTATTTTTTTATCATTTTTACATACATTAATATTTTGAGCAACATATCATGCATACTTCAGCAAATAAGTGTTATTTTAGTATTATTTATATACTATTATAGCATTTATAAATATTTTGAATTAGCTTTTATTTTTATAGTTTCTGTTTATGTACCTTTTTAATATATACATTTCTAAATAGCATTAATAAATTTTTATTTCAGTTTTAATTTAAGTAATTTTAGTACATAATTTCAGTAAGTTGTGAGGGAAATATTTCTTATTTTATTTTAATTTAGGTTTCATCCAATATTTATATTTTGTTATATTTAAAATAAAATATATTTAAAATAATAAACTATAATAACAATGATAAAATAAAATATATTTATTATATATTTCCACGCCGTACACCAAGTCTCTATGATGTTCTTGCCTGTTCATCAATATATTACTCTGTGATGAAGAAGAAAAACAGGATCCGACACACCTCTTAACTGGGCTTTACATTCCACAAAAACCCCTTCTGGACCAAAAGCTTAAATTCCAATCTGATTTAGATTTCTCTTTCAGCTTGAACGAACATGTTAAAGCTCAACACTCAGCTCTGGGTCTGAATGTCAGACTCATTTTGAAAAACTACAGCATGTCTTGAAGTTCAAAGTTCCCAGACGGCCATCACAAGCACTGCCAACTAAAACAAGGGGCTTCTTACAAGGGTTGTGACGGTGAGGAAATTTTCCCACCGGTTAATCGACGTGTGACAACACCGGTAATACCGTTATCACCGTGGGGGTGGGGGCTTCCCTCTTTTCCTCGCTTTCCTTGGCTTTTAAATAGCTTGTAAAAGCGGTGTGCGCATTTTACTTTCACTTTCAAATAGCGGCAATTCGGACTAAAACGATTGTTCGTTTTTAGTTCGTTTGAATTTTCCCTTTTAAGAAATCAACAGATATGTCTGTGATTGGTTACATTGCTCAACGCTGCAAAAACACCTTGAGGGTATTTAGCGCTTGGGATTCCATGACTAACAATTTGGGGGGGCAATTGCATTTTACTTTCACTTTTGAATTAGCGGCAGTTCGGTGTCAATTGCTTTTATTAGAACTTTTATTAACAAAACAAATAAAAATACACCATGCTATAGGGCAGGCTATGCCTAATATAAAATAACAAATAACTTACATAGTTTAAATAGGTATACAAAACTGGAAATAGGCTAAGTAAACATGTATAATATATAACCAAATAAATAAGAAACGTAGAACGTTTATTAGCAAAACGAATGTCAAATAAAATAAATAAATGACAGTTTAAATAAAGTAAAAATCAGCAAATAATGTGGAACCAATTAAATAAGAAACGAATGTTTAAAAAAACCTTCCAAAATCACCTTAGATAAACGGCAAAAGTCAACAGGCTTTTCAAAATCCAAAATATTGCCAAACAGACGCTTTTGCATCATTTTTCGAAACTAAATCATCCGCGATCGTCTTGTCTGTCTCACCTCACTCTTCTTGTCAGTCAGCTCGACTCTCTCTCCTCACTGGAGAAATTAAATCTGATCTGTGATGCGACTGTCGTTCGGCACGCTGCATTGAGCAGCCGCGTTCAGTTTTTAATTGTAGTGTCTGTTCTTTTACTGAACTAAATTATTTTTATTACTATAAAAAAATCAAAACGACGGTGGGGGTCGGTGCCGCGGTGGGCAAGTGACGTAACCGGTGTTGCGGCTTAACACCGGTATAACCGTCAACACCGTCTATCGGCGGCAAGCCTACTTCTTACTACACAATGATATAAGTGATGTTTTACAGAAACACATCTTCATAACCACATCAATACACTCTAAATGAGTCATTTAATAAGCATGTATGATGTTGCATATATTCTAAGATCTTACATCTGTGACCGCCAAAAACGTATATATGTATAATGTATAAATGTTTAAATATGTTTTAAAAAATGCATAAAATGTATAAATAAAAATAAAACAAGATCAAAATAAATTAAATAAAAAAATAATAAAATTAATTAGATTAAAACAAACAAATAAATAAAAAATAAATTTGATTAAAATAAATAAATAAATAAAAAAAGACTAAATAAAGAGTCGATTAAATAAGTGCATAATAAAAAATTTAAACAAACAAATAAAAACTGTAGTGAGTAGGAACAAAACAATAGAATCTATTATTATTATAAGTTAAAATATTAATATTTAAATTAGTATAAATGGGTCTATCGCATGAGGATGATCATATATGGAGATCTTTGCCATCTAAAAGACAGAAAACCCTTGAATGGCAGCTCAATAACTGTAGTCATCATAAACACTTCAGAGTTCCCTGATGTTAAATGATCAGGTTTTGAACCTACAACCTTTCAGTTATCAGCTCATATCTTTAACCAATAGGCTACATCCCCCCAAATGATGGAAAATAATACCTCACTATTCACATTTAGCTAACTTACATGTGAGTGCAGTAGCCAGCCTAGATCTAAGCTGGTAACTAAAAGGTTACTAGTTTGAATCCCCACAAATCATTTAATCAATACACTGAATCTCAAAAGTATTAAAATGATCATAAATAATAACAATAACTCACAGCATTTCTTCTCGTTGACTCTGGGCTCCGCCTTCTTGAAGTCATTTGAATTGTCCATGACTTTAGGTGCAGATTTGACGATCTTGACGGACAGGTGTGAGGGTCAGCACAGGTCACCAGAGGTCATCAGAGGTCAGTCCACCTGCGCAGGTATCACGAGACTGAGATTAGGTCATTACCGGCCTGGCGTTATTGCACACCTGCTGCGTTTAGCCTCCAAGACAGGAATAAAAAAATCAAAGCTGCATTCACTCACCTCGCCGCGGAGAGAACACTAACACACGGACCATTTCCCATTCAAACACAGTTAAAACTGTGTTTCCATTAAAGCTCTGGGACAGAGCAGACTTGGTGTGACCGCTGTGTTTCAGGAAGTGTCTGTGTCTGCTGGAGATGCGAAACATCCAACCCTTAGAAAAACAATAAATGCTAGAAGAACGATTAGCATCGACGGGGTGACAGAATGGGCGGGGTTCGCGGCGCAAGTCTTGTTTGTGATTGGCCAGGCACGATCGGTATAAATAATAATTATTTTATATCTACTTTTCTTTCCGTGTTCTTTCAGTTTGATAATACTAAAGTTCTCAGTATAATTACTGCAGGTGCAAAAAATATCCAAATCGCTTCTGGGAGGAAAGCGTTGTCACGTGATACATGTTACTTTTCCCAACAGTGAATTAATCAGACGAGGCTTTTAATAACAATTTTGTTGTAGACAATGGCGCATATTTTTATTTATATGTCAGGTATAAATTAATAAAATGATTTTTAAAAATGTGTATATATTGTATAGTTTATATAACACATATCTTGAATGCGGCTCAGTGAGGATTCAGACCGGAGATCAGCGAATCGCCCTCTGCTGAAGGAAACAGTAATAAGCCAGTAACTTTTGCCGCTCAACGGTCTGAACCAATCACGGTCTGAAGCCGCTTGGGGGCGGGGTTTGTTGCGCTTGTCTGATTGGATATACTTAACATCATTTAGAAATTATGTGGCGCATGTAAAGCAATATACATTTTATAATGCATAACATATCCGTTTATAACGAACCACTAAACATGGGAATATTAGAGAACAATTATATTCTAAAAAGTACTGCAATCTGTGTTCCTTAACAGGTCAGCAACAGTGTATTAATTAACTTATGGAATTAAAACGTCTAAAACCTTTGGTTTTATTGTACGATATTTGTTGTATGAATTTTGACACATTAATTGATATGAATGGTGTATAAACAAATTGGTCTTCTAGACAGAAATTTTTTACCGTACAAGACGTACAAGAAATTATGTGCAAACAAAAACTAATAGATTAAAATACATAAACAATAAAAATGCTTAAAATAATTATGCATACAATAAAAATTATATTCAAATAAATGAGTATAAAATAAATGAGTATAAAATAAACATTTGATTAAAATAACCAAATAATATCTTCAGATATTCACAAATCTTACAGTGCAAATTTAAAACATTTTAAAATAAATAATCAAATTAAAATAAATAAATTTAGATTATAATAAATAAATTACATTAAAATAAATAAAAAATAAAATAAGTACTGTATATAATACAATTTTGATATATATAAATATATTTTCTTAATATATAAAACATTTTACATAACACATTTTAAAATATAAAAATAATGAATAATTAAAATAATAATTAAAAATAAACACTTAATCAGATTAAAATAAGTATACAATAAACATTTGAAATAAATAAATAAACACGTCTAATAATTCATTACTAAATAGAAAAATAAACTTAACCTTAAAAGAATCTCAACATCATAAAATATTAAAATAATTTAAATATTTTCCAAATAATATTCAAATTAGTATAAAAATATTTAATTTAATAATTAAAAATATTAATATTTATTATTGAAATTGTGTCTTTATACACAAAAATATATAGTAAATATAAATACACATTATGCTTATGCACAAACATGGAAAATATTGTGACCTTATAACTTGCTACCAATACACATCATCACACTATTGTTTAATTTATGCAATTCATGCATCTACTTATTTACACATTAAATTTTTTTTACCATTTAAACAAACTGCTTGCAGCAGAGACATTTCCATAGCTCTGGATTTTTCTATGGGAATGATATGATAAATTCATTCATGCATATAAATATTTGAAAAGAAGACGAACGGCGATAACTAGGATGTATCGCACGTTACCAAGCCAGCAGCTCATACATTTGCATCGTTTTTCCTATAATGCAAAACCCTCAGTCGGCCTGAACTGACAGTCTCGTAACCTGTAGAAAGTCTTCATCTGCACTGCCTGCCAAAGGAAATGTTTCTTTTGTGCTGCATACTCAGTCATTGGTTTGCTAAATAAGGCCTCCTTCTGGCCATTGTGAAAACGCTCTGCTGTTTCTCAGGATATGTGAGGTCTGCCGCTCTCAGATTCCTTTGCCTTGTATGGCTAAAGGCTCCAGATGCGCCCGGCTGCGGGACGCTGACCTTATTGGCCGGCTCAGGAACAGGGAGGTGTGGAGAAACGCCTGAAAAACCAAACAAACTTCCCTTCAGCCCAGCGCAGGAACAGACCGTCTCCAACCCTCTTCAACTCAAAAACAAGGTACAGCTACTTTAAGAACTCCTAATCGTTGTTGGCTTTGTTAATGGTTAACGGATATATAATACAGTTTCAGCTTTAACTTCTGAACAGGTTGATTTTGTAAATGTCTCAGTGCAGTGTAAATGTATGATAGTTTCAGAACAGTTTCTTTATGGTATTTTACATTTGAAATATGTAAAGTCTATCATTCAACAGCAAGGTTCAGGGTTCCTATATGTATAAGTGAACGTGTATACTTTAGCTTATGTAACATTTCACCGTTTTCAGTCTTTTGTGTGTGTGTGCGCGTGTGTGCATTTTTTCAGTACAAACATTGTATGTTCTAAAAAATAGGTATATATATATATATATATATATATTACTTATTTTAAATAAATAAATTTTTTATTTTATTTTTTAAACAGGTCTCATATGACATATTTCATTTAAATTATTAATACCTCACAAACACTTGTGTATTGTATATTGTATGTAGGCTTATATAAATATATTTGCTTTTACTACCTTGATTTAGTAATTTAATTGGACTTGTAATTTGATATGAATTATTTTCAGTATAAATATTCCTAGTAGTCCCTTTAATTCTGTATTTTTAGAAGAATTACAAAATAAAAAAAGTTTTCAATGAATTATAGCATGTCACACCGCAGGATGCTTCTGCTTGAAAATTCATGTCAGTTTCACTTTGAAAGCATCAAATGTGCCTCTAACTATTATGATATAAGACTGAATGCATATACAGAGTGTTTTTGTGTGTAATTTTGTACATTGAAAACACTTTATCCGTCATACTTGTGCCGATGGCATCGCTCCATGGTATTGTGCGTTGTCCTCCAGACTGCGATGAGTGGACTCTAATGAATTTAATCTCTTATCTCTTTCTTCTGCAGAAGCAAACCCTGCGGTCAGAATGTCTGCAGCCAAGCGTGCCAAAGGAAAGACCACAAAGAAGCGGCCGCAGAGGGCCACGTCCAACGTCTTCGCCATGTTCGACCAATCCCAGATCCAGGAGTTCAAAGAGGCCTTCAACATGATCGATCAGAACAGAGACGGATTCATCGATAAAGAGGATCTACACGACATGCTGGCCTCTCTGGGTAATCTATCTATCTATCTATCTGTCCGTCTGTCCATCCGTCCGTCCGTCCGTCTATCTAGTCCATCCATCCATCTATCTATCCGTCTGTCTGTGTCTGTCTGTCTATCTATCCATCCATCTATCCATCCATCTATCTATCCGTCTGTCTGTGTCCGTCTATCTATCTATCTATCTGTCTGTCTGTCTATCTATCTATCTGTACATCTGTCTGTCTATCTGTCTGTCTGTCCATCCGTCTATCTATCTGTCTGTCTGTCTGTCTATCTATCTATCTATCTATCTATCTGTCCGTCTATCTGTCTGTCTATCTGTCTGTCTGTCTATCTATCTATCTATCTATCTGTCCGTCTATCTGTCTGTCTGTCTATCTATCTATCTATCTATCTATCTGTCTGTCTGTCTGTCTATCTATCCGTCCGTCCGTCCGTCCGTCCGTCCGTCCGTCTATCTATCTATCTATCTATCTATCTATCTATCTGTTTGTCTGTCTATCTAGAGGTGTGAATCCAAATCTTAATCTATCTATCTAAACATTTTAATACATTTTATGTATTTAATTATAGGCTTCATTTTTTATTTTGAGCTGAAATATGACCTTATAGTTTGTAAAATTAAGTTTTGTAGGATGTTTTTTTTGTGTGTGTGTGTGTGTGTGTGTGTAAATTATTTATTTTTATTATGCTTCAGTTTTGTTTTGATTTTGTGCTGAGATGACTTCAGATGAAATTTTGTAAGAATTATCTTTTTTGCATGAATATTTTATATATATATTTTTTATATTTTAAAATATTATTTGTAGAATATATATATATATATATATATATATAAAATGAAGATTCATTTTTCTTTTGAACTGAAATACTGAAATATAACATTAGTTTGAAAGATAAGGTTTTGTGAGATTCATCCAGTAATATCCTTGTTTTAGCTAAATTATAATTTTTTTTTATTTAGAATTTTTTTTATTCATTTATTTATTTATTAATTTGACCATCCAATAATATCTTTTGCCAATAATATTCTGCAGGCCAAATAACATGCAAAATATCAAACATTTCTCACCAACCACACTGGAATGGTTTTACCAACACACATTAAGCTTGATGTGAAGAGCAGGTTTAATGTGTGCGTGGAAAAGCAGCCCTGCATCTGAGCATTTATTCCTGTTTCTCCAGGGAAGAACCCGTCTGACGAGTACCTGGAGGGAATGATGAGCGAAGCTCCGGGTCCCATCAACTTCACCATGTTCCTCACCATGTTTGGAGAACGTCTGAACGGCACCGATCCTGAAGACGTCATCCGAAACGCCTTCACGTGCTTTGACGAAGAGGCTTCTGGTACAGCCTTTGTCCTAGTGAACAAATCATGTGTTTATGTGTTAATTAACTGCACTGTGTCATCTCAAGCTCAATTAATAGATCTAAATGCATGTTTTGGTATAATTATGCCCTCATGAAGGTAAGAGGATTGACAGCTTAAAATGACATTATAAGCCTGGTTCTCAAAGTCATGAAACTACAAGCTTCTCAGAAAGAGCACATTTACTGTACAAAATCATGGGAACTGTTGATATTTAAGATTTTCCCTTGACAAACATAACAAATGTCAATAGATAAACCGATTAAAAAATATAGATTTCTGAAATAATTCATTACATTAAAATTAACTATTACAATTATAGTTATAAAACATTTCTCATGTTCTTTTAGTTTAATTTGATGTACTAAAATAACTCAAACTTTAAATGACAGAATAAAACAAAATAAACACTATACAAACGTTTTTTTTAAAAATGACAAAAGCACAATAAAATTACTAAACATTTGACTAAAATTAAAGTAAAAAAAATTACACAATATAAATAAAAATTATAATAGTATTTCAATGATATTAAAATAACACTGACCTTAAAGGACAGACAAAAAAAAGCATCCTCATGATATAAGGGGGAAAAAGCATTCAAAATAAAATATGACCCTGGAGCACAAAACCAGTCTTAAGTCGCTGGGGTATATTTGTAGCAATAGCCAACAATACATTGTATGGGTCAAAATTATCGAATTTCTTTTATGCCAAAAAAGGATATTAAGTAACGATCATGTTCCATGATGATATTTTGTAAATTTCCTACTATAAATATATTAAAACTTAATTTTTGATTAGTAATATGCATCGCTAAGAACTTCATTTGGACAACTTTAAAGATGAATTTCTCAATATTTAGATTTTTTTGCTCCCTCAGATTCCAGATTTTCAAATAGTTGCATCTCAGCCAAATATTGTCCAATCCTAACAAACCGTACATCAATGGAAAGCTTATTTATTCAGCTTCTCAAGATCTGACCCTTATGACTGGTTTTCTGGTCCATGGTCACTAATACATTTATTGGATTTTTGTGGATCTGTTTAGAAAATCGTTTATATTATTATAGTAAAAACTGTCATCAACTGTTCATTGCCAGACATTTGTATCCATTTTTGAAAGACACAAATGGCACCTGATTTTCTTTATAATGACTCAGAGGTTGAGATCTTCACAGACAGCCTTATGTGACGTCTGTAACAGGGTTCATCCATGAGGACCATCTCCGCGAGCTGCTGACCACCATGGGTGATCGTTTCACTGATGAAGAAGTGGACGAGCTGTTTCGCGAGGCGCCAATTGACAAGAAAGGAAATTTTAACTATGTGGAGTTCACTCGCATCCTCAAACACGGGGCCAAAGACAAGGACGACATTTAAAAACAGCAGCAGATTCATATGTATGTCAAGATCTAATGATCCTGATGATTCAACAGTTCAGTCTTTTAAGAAACCACACTGTAATGCACTAGAATACCACTCAAAAAGCCTTAGCATACTGTATATTTCACACTGTGTTGGCGAGTGCTGCATGTGCGAACATACTTTAGATCCCGTATTCATGTTTTCTTTCTTCGCCTCTCCAGATAAAATCACCTGTTGTGTGTGTGTAAGAGACTGAAGCAGATAATTATGCTCTACAGGAGCCATTTTTGAAGTCCAAAAACACCCTTTTAGATATTAAGAAGCTTCACATTATAGTTTTGCTGATTTCATGTATTAAGAATAAAGTTTGTACATTTCAGAATATGTGCTGTAAGAAATTGAATTAATTAGCAATTAGCATCATTTTAAAATAAAGACGCTTTTCCACTTTCTTTACTGTTTACAATTTCTGCTCCATCACACAAAATGCACACAAATAAAAAGGCCAAGCCTGGATTTCTGTCTTTTAACAGCAAAAGTTCACCCCAAAAAATGGAAGTTACCTGGCAATTTACTCACCCTTAGGACATCCAAGATGTAGAGGAGTTTGATTCTTCATCAGATTTGGAGAAATGTAGCATTGCATCACTTGCTCGCCAATGGATGTGAATGGGTGCCGTCAGAATGAGAGTCCAAACAGCTGATAAAAACATCACAATAATCCACAAGTAATCCACACACCACTCCAGTCCATCAGTTAATATCTTGAGAAGTGAAAAGCTGCATGTTTGTAAGAAACAAATCCATCATCCAAGACATTTTAACTTCAAACCATTGCTTCAGACTAAAATACGAGTCTATAATCCATATAATGCATTCTCCTATAACCTGAGCAATATAAAAGCACTATCAAACAACAAACAGCACATCCGTTGCTTGCCATGTTCTTGTTAAATAAAACTTTATTTTGATTGTAAAAGAAATATTTCCCACAACAATCCTACAATCTACAGAGTGTAACGCTGTATATCTATATTACTTTAAAACATGTCAGCTCTGAAAAATAATAGCCATCAATGATATCTATAGTAAGTCTCTCTTTCTCTGGACTCTGGAGATGTAAGAATGAGATTTGGGCCTGTGTGCATATTGAATTCACTGATCCAGGATCAGATTCCATGTGTTTGTTCTTATATCGGTCACAAAAGCGCTCAAAAACAGAACCAAACTCACATGTGATTGACCAGTGTTAAACCAACCACTTTCTAGGTCATCGTAATATGGCACTTTCCACAAAAATGGTACAGAAAAGGCTATGAACTTTAAAAGTCACACCTCAGTAGGAAAAACTACATTATATGAGCGGTTTTGTTTTCTATTCATGGCATAAGAGGTTTATAATCAGTATTTGAAATACTCTTACCAATATTTAGACAAACCCTGGTGTGTTTCTTTAGTATTTTCTAGCAATAAACTTGTAATGTAGGCTAACGGCAGAGTTGCCAGGTTTACACAAAACAAAACCCGCCAAATTGCTACTCAAAACTAGCCCAACGGCGTTAAACCGGGGTAAAATACACGTAAAATACACGTTTTTGGTAGGGTTTCCCTGATAAAATTTGCATTACAGGGGCTAAATATCATGTTATTGGGGTCGCTTCGGCAACAGTATTAAAGTAGCCCAATTTCGCGGGAAAACCGCGGACTTGGCAACACTGCTAACGGTCAAATTGGATCACGTGATCCTCGATAACCAATCACATCACGGTCTTGACGTTAGTCGCGCGAGTCAGTCGCTGTTTATGGATACCATAAAAACCAATGAGAATTACCATAAACTGAATCCTACCTGTTCCAAATTTGTCCGCGAGTTCTCTTATAAAAACAGCACTTTTCCGTTGTAAACTCTAAAAATAGATAAATCCAAAATGAACCTTTAATCCCGAACATGTTGAAGATTAGCCGATTAGCTGTTTTCCCACAAAATCAGTTTATTCAGTGAAGCCTCTCCTCCATTGACGTACATTCAAAAACGGCATCTGGTCTCCTTCCCTGCCTACCACAGGGAAGTACGCTTGTTTTGCTAACATTTGTTGCTGCCGCAAATCGATCCGCGTTTTTCGCGGAATTTCGTACCCGCTCACCACAATAAACAGAAGTCACTGAACCTCGAACCATTAGAATGATTTTGAAACTGATATTTCAAGGTACAAAAAAAAACATACAGTTGCTTCAAACGGCTTGATCTTGACAAATGCTGTCAACAGTATCATTTGTGTAAAAATACTATAATTGAACGAAATTATTTACTTCTCTTCCTGCCACCTTGTCCAAATTACGTCACTTCCTGTGTGTCACATTTTGAATTGGGGTAAATCCATAGACTGTATAAAAACATGGACGTAGTGTCCCTGATGTCACCCGTAGATTTCCGAAGAGCGTTTTTGAAGCTCAAAAGTGGGCGGAGCCTGCCGTCGCCATCTTGGCAGCGCGTCACTCCCGGATAATCGAAAATGGGCAAAGAGGCGGGAGCAGGTTGCTGAAGCCACACCCACCTAGCTCGACGGTGGTGACAGCAGCGGCAATCCACCTGTCACTCAAGTGGCCACGCCCTTAATTATGCAGAACTTTAAGGCTTAATATAATTTAAACGGATAAGTTATAAAAAAAATTCACCCCCTCACAGTTGTCATGAAGGGCAAAGTTAGCTATATAGACCAAAATCATTTTTTGTACCAGGCTGTAAACGTTTTTTTCTGCTGTAAAGTTGGGCATTTTAACATGGGGAGTCTATGGGGTTGACTCCCTTTTGCAGCCAGCCTCTAGCGGCCAGTTGATGAATTACAGTTTAAGTCACTTCCTTGTTGGGAGCGGGAGGTTGCCGCTTGGGTAAATCAAAGTAATTTGAGCTACACTGCTAAGTTAAATATTTTTTTAAAAGTTCATTAAACGTAGACCTATATTTTTATCTATATTAAATTCAGCATTTTAGTATTTTCAAACTATCACAACTATGAAAGTGCCGTTTAAATCAACTACAGCAGTTGATTCAACACTGGTAATTCACTATGAACACACAAACAAGAGTGCAAGAAACAACCTGATGCCTTGGACAAACACATAATGACATGTATGAAAGTTTCCATATCGGCCCTCGCCGTTGAGCTCTGAGCTATTTCTCTCCAAAGTTAGCATAACAAATACATTTGATTCGTGTCCGTTAGCATCTGACACAATGGTGCACATATATAAGTTCAACAATGTCCTTCAATAAAATCTGAAGCATCACCTGTAATAAACCAATGGAAAGAAAAGAAATAAAAGTATACAAAGGCAGGCGAGATGTCCGTTGAAAGTCCGTAAGTGTGTTGAGTCCAGTGTAGCCCTATTAAGATCTGATGGGTTTGAGTTCATTGATATTCAAATAATCAATCCTTCCACAGGAACACAAAGGCTTTAAGACTCTGATATTGCTATGACATGCAGAGTTCAGAGATTTGTGCCGAGTATCAGAGCCTGTTGGAAAAGCAGGCCAGGTGACATGAGAACGGAAAAACACGTCAAAGATGAACATGAACAAACCGTGAACGTTCACACGCCTGGACCGGACGATTGAGAAAACCACTTTTCATCTAACAAACGCTAATATAAGATGTTACTTTATTGCTCAAGTCAATTGTGTGAAATGTTTGATGAATATGAGCATTCTGAGCTGTGATTGGGCCAGAAATTGATCAAATTCATATCTCTGTAATAAAATGGCATGTTGAAATCAATACACTAATTGAATTTTAATTGTTCAACTCCGCTTAACAAATATGATCATTTTTAAATCCATGCAGAATTTACCTTAAAATCAGAGCAGAAAATGCTTCACTATAGTTGTTTGGAAATTATTCATTATTATTCAATTATTCTTTTTTTTTTTCAAGATCAAGAATTGAATTTTGAATGAGAAATGAATTACTAATTGGGTTTTTGCCACCCAAACTTGAACATAAGAGTGGCACGGTTTGTAACTTGATTGTGCAAGGCTTTCGGTTTCATCCACTTCCACACTGCTGAAGAAAACAACAGAAACCCTCAGAGTTTGTAATGGTTATAATGGGAACAGTGTTGGTTTTAATGGAAACTGGTCCTGGACTTCTGTTCAGTGTTGCCAGGTCTGTGTAACAAAACCAGACCAAAGGTCAATCAAAAATAGCCTAAAAACAACTATCAAAACTCAACACATGGCACTCCCATATCTAAACTACATATTACACACAATTTCAACTTGAACTCCACTAGTAACCGTCTGTTTCCATAAAGGAGCTCAAAAGCCCTTCCCACAAAACACATAATTTAGCACAGGTTTATCATTGGTAGAATGTAAAATATTTTAATACAAATTTCAGCCAATTACAATTTATGCAGTATGTAAATTTTTAAACCACAGAAAAAAAAAATCAACGTGTGGCAACAGTTTACAAGTAGCCCAATTCTGCAGGAAAACTACAGACCTGGCAACCCTGCTACTGGAAGCCATTAGGTAATGGTTTTATGGTTAAGTGTGGATGGTTTGTAATGTTTGTAGTGGAAACAATTAGAAGTTCTGTGATAGTTTCTATTGTTTTGTTTTTTTTCAGCAGGGATGAACGGACCAATTTTCAGAGATTGCAGGAAATTTTTATCTGATTGCTAACAGCAGTATATACAGTGGGTACGGAAAGTATTCAGAAAAAAAATCTATTTTATATTTTTACATTAATGATATAATCAATATTATATTAAAGCCAAGTATGAATCTTATCAAAGCATTTTACATTTATTCCAAAAATAATAACTCAAGGTAGTAAAAATTTAAAAATTTTATTTGTGAACTTATATTCAGTTATTCTTTTTAATAGTTAACTTTTAACTATTTTTTTTTCATTTTTCAGATCATCGGACATCAAAGCTTTGTAAATATTGGTCACAGACACAGAGATTTACTTTAAATTACACCAAGCTCATTACTCATTAAAAACTCCCATAGATCATGTTTTCAGGCCATTTTAAGTCTTATTTTGACTTGACATAAAGTTGTTATATCTAAGTGTGTGAGTTGTTTACTTACTTTTTTTAAATTAGTCATTATATTGTTCATTCAGACTGATTCACGAACATGCACAAACACAAGAGGCGGGATTTATCGCATGAACCATTTTACTTGTGGGTGTCGCTGTTGCACAATTTTTCTTTAGAAAAACGCGATTTTTAATATTGTGTAATATAGCCATTGTTTTATTTTTGTACTATGATTTTTTTTCATCTAACATACTGACTGACTCATAGGTAGGATTCAAGTAAAGTTTGACATTAGCGTTACTAAGCTAACCACGTGATACTCCATAATCGTAAAATGGCACAAATAATGGGTAACTTTTTTTGGTTACACTTTACTTGAAGGGGTGTGCATAAGACTGACATGACACCTTCATAATCATGACATGTCATGAATATGAAGGAGGTTTTATGCATGTTTATGACAGCTGTCATTAAGTGTCATTCACTCAGTTATGTCATTTTTAATGCAAAGATGACATTGTTTGAGATGTCTCTATGAGTTAGGGTTAAGGTTAGGTCAATGTCATCTTTGCATTAAAAGTGACACAACTGAGTGAATGACATAATGACATAACATGAATGCATAAAACCTCCTTCATATTCATGACGCATGTCAGTCTTATGCACACCCCTTCAAGAAAAGCGTTACCCAGAAAATGATTAGCCATGTTGATTTCAACTACTTTCTCAATCAGATGCAGAACACATTGCGCACATACACAGTGCTTTATTAACGCCTTACAAACTGATCAGTGGAGGAGAATTAATAGTTGGAAATTTTTGGCTAAAAAAACATTCCGGGATAATTTTAAATATGTGATCAAGGGAAAAACGCCACTTATGCTCACGGTTATTTTCTGGAGAACATGCACTGAAATTTTGTTCAAAACAACATTAAAAAAAAAAAAAAAAGTTTAGGGAACATATAAACATTACTTTCAGAATGTAAAGTTGAATTAGATTCATTTGGATTGATGAAAATCAGTGCATGTGAAAATGTCTATAAAAAATTTATTCTGCAGAACAAAAATTGAAAGGGAGAGTATTTTTTAAACGATCACATTCTAATATGCTGATTTGCTGCTCAAGAAAAAAAAAATATTATTAGTGTTGAAAACAGTTATGCCGCTTTATATTTTTGTGGAAAAATTAAACATTTTGTTTTCAGGATTATCTCATGAATTGAAAGTTCCAGAGAACAGCATTTATTTAAAATAGAAATATTTCACAACATAATAAATGTCTTTACCGTCACTTTTGATCAACTTTGATTCAAAAAAATCGTATTTAACCCAAACTTTTAAATGTCATGCATCATGGTTTCCACAAAAACATTAAACCGCAAAAGCCATCTTCAACTCTTGTTCAGGGCGAGTCCAGGATGAATAACTCTGCTCATGCCTCAGTCACCATCATTATATGAGCAAATGGAAGAGGTGATGAATGTGACTCGTGTTCAGAGACTCATCGTCTACATGTTGAATCCAAACTAAAGCAAGTTTGAACTAATGCGCCACACAAACCGTGAAAATCCAGCTTCTGAAACACTGATGTGAGCCAGCAGGAAACCTCGAGGTCTGATACAGAGGGAGATTCCTTCAGATCTGATGCACTTGAAGGAGTCGTTCACTCAAAAATGACCATTTGAAGAAAATGTACTCACCCCTCAGGCCAACCAAGATGAAAATTAGCGTTTCATCAGCACAGATTTTTAGAAAGCAATATAATGGATAGAGGACTCGTATTTTAGCCAGAAGCAACAATATCAAGTTAAAACGTCTTAATGGATTTGTTTCTTACAAACACGCAGCTTTTGGCTTCTCAAGACATCAACTGATGGACTGGAGTGGTGTGTGGATTATTGTGATGTTTTTATCAGCTGTTTGGACTCTCATTCTGACGGCACCCATTCACATCCATTGGTGAGCAAGTGATGCAATGCTACATTTCTTCAAATCTGATGAAGAAACAAACTCATCTACATCTCGGATGGCCTGAGGGTGAGGACATTTCCAGCAAATTTTCCTTTTTGGATGAACTATATTCCTTTAATGCTTACAATGGAATACAAACTCTGAAAAATGAATGAACTGTTAATGAAAGTGGCATCAAATCTCCATTTCATTCATCATTTAAACTTCATTTTCCTCCTTTGGCTTCAATGTAATTGGCACATGAAGAGACCGGCAGTGATGGTGAAGCGTGTTCAAATCTTTCTAACCTAGTTTAATATGCACAGATAACTAGCAGCAAAGCATTTGTGTAAGTACTGACACTTCTGGGCCCGACGTGTGAAAATCTGAAACAACTTTTCCAAATCAGCAAGTTCTGGGTAAAGGAAGTTTTTAATATCTAACAAAGAAAATAATAATTAAAAAAACATCTTCGATCACAAATGACGGGCTCTGATTGGTCACACACAGACACGCGGTTCGTACGTGTGCTGGAAACACATGGAATGACTGGACAACAAAAACACAACTGAAAGCATTAAAATCATAATAATAATAATATTACAAAACAGACTGTTGGCCCAAGTAAAAATCTGGACCTTGTCATTCAGTTTTTAAAACATTCATCATAAAAACAAAGTGGAGTGGTCATGTTTTAACCCTATTAAATAACCAGAAACTGACAGATGGGTCGTGCTCTGTGCGCTTTTACGTGAAAATAAACCAAGCTGGATGTGTTTCTGTGTTCAGTTTTACTGGAGTGAAACAAACAGAACTAGTGGAGTGCTAAAATCCGCTGTGCTATTCTACCACTTCAGTATCCGCTGTACCGTCCAAACATTTCTGCAGATTTCCATTCGAACCATAAAGTCACGCAGCCGTGCGCCAAAAACTGGTGGGAAAAGGAACTCAAAAGGTGTCTGTGAGAGCAGGAAGACTGTGCTGATGAAAGACAAGTGCACACGTGCGGGATCCTGAGTGCATGCTGTGGGAGGGGCGTCCGTGAGTCATGTGACGTGTGAAGCGTGTAAAGGGTCTGAGATCTTCATCAGAGATATTAGCACAATTTACAGACAAAGTCTTGATATATTTCCATGAGATAATTCACTTTTATAACATTTATAAGGGTAACCATAGAAATTAATGTCGAGGAGAGGTTCTTCTCTGGCAGCGGTGACACGCTAGCGTTCCAATTCAGTTTTTTGCTCTTTCTATTTCGTATTTTTTGCTTGTGGTTTCCCACCCCGGTGCATTAAATCTGTAATAAATATCAAACATGTTTTTAACAACTAAAATAAATTAATAATAAAATGGTAATGATATTTAATCAATTTAAATTTGTAACTATTAAAATACATTCTAGCTTATATGAAACTGTACTAAATAACAATAAAATGCATTTATAAAATACATATTAAAATATATTTTCAATTATTTTTAGAAAATACAAATAGAAGTACAAAAAGTTATTTATAACATGAAATACAGAAATGTATAGAATAAACTAAATATTAAATTTCAATAAAATACATATTCCAAATTATCAAAAGAAATATTAAAATAGCATTGAATTAATATTCATTTTTAACCCCAAAAAAAGAATGATTAGATTAGAAAAGATAATTTATTATTAGATTAATAAAAATAATATATTTAATTACTAATATTACTTTTTAAACTTTTAAAAACATTATTAGCTTATAATTAAATATGAACAAAAAACAATACAAATAAAATAAATTTTTTAAATAAATATTAAGTAATTTATAAAATAATAAAATGCATATAAAGTATGCATACAATAAATATTTAACAATAAATATCTAATAAATATTATATTACCATTTAATTTTTTTAACAATTAAATATATTGTGCTAGTGTACCATTTACTACATAAACACCATACAAAAAATATTAATATATAATAATATTATATACGGCCTACTTTTTTTTTGGCAAATAACTGACGCACTACATTTTCACCACATGACGTTATTATAGATGGGCGGCTTCATGTGGTGATACAAAGTTCTAGATCTAAAAGCTGAAGTATATCCACAAACCAGAATATTTCTCTACATTCCAACTGGTTTAACAAGCAAAGGCAAAGGGAAATGTTAGGATGTTCGAAAGCTTTGTCAGTTGGACCTTTTTGTCCTGGGTCTCAGACATCTTCCAGTCGTTGGACCTGAGGAGGTGGAGCTCGTCAAACTTCATGCTGATGTCCTCGATGGAGAGCTGCAGCAGATCCCAGAACCCGGCCAGATCCTGCGCTGTGGCCCGCGGCTGAGCGCTCGCATCCTGACCGAAAACACACACATCAGTCATCAGACTGACATCAACTGTACAGCTTCAATGAGTCGCTGTGGATTAAAGAATCTGCCAAATGCTTAAAAACAAGACAAAAAAACAACAACAGGAAGAGAATCAAAGTCGGTCCACTTCAGGTCCACTGGATCTGTTTTTGGAGTCAAAATGACCAATACATATTTGTAATATGATCTTATTTCCGACCAGAAACAGCTAACAAGAATAATACTAGTGCTGACAAAAGACCCGGTACTTCGGTACCAAGTCGGTACTAAAAAAATGACAGACAAAGTCTTGATATATTTCCATGAGATAATTCACTTTTATAACATTTATAAGGGTAACCATAGAAATTAATGTCGAGGAGAGGTTCTTCTCTGGCAGCGGTGACACGCTAGCGTTCCAATTCAGTTTTTTGCTCTTTCTATTTCGTATTTTTTGCTTGTGGTTTCCCACCCCGGTGCGCATGTCCGCGAGTGCTAGACAGCGTCTGCTCGTGAGGAGTTTGTTATTTTGGGCTTTGTTAGAGTCGCGTCTGAGCCTCGGGGACGTAGATCTCGATGCTTTCGGCGCTCTCGGTGGCGGAGTTCTGTCGTTCGGAAACCGCTCGCTTGGCCGCCATCAGTCGCTTTCTGGCCTCCTGACGCTGCTTGTCGGCCACCGAGTCGCTGCTTTTCTCCTTCCCGCCAGAGGTTTTGACCTTTACCGTCTTCTTTGGTGTGTGGGATGGAGCGGACTTCTTCTCCTCCTGAGGACATTCATTCAATAATTAAACTCTGCTTATGTTAAGTACTACCTTCCAGCGTTTGTGAGCACAGCGCTTATTTGTTTACAGCGGTTACCAGGGAAACCTCTTATCTCTCCTGCTCTACAAGCTCCTCCTGCTGGCAGAGAATGAATCTGCATATATATGTCGCCACAAATAGAGTGCAAGTCTGTGGGAAACACCGCTTCTGTTATGAATATTATTCAATATTTTAATTTGAAAGTCGGATTGAAATGAACGCTGTTATTAGAGTAGTTAATCGTTAGCATAAGCTCGGCTAACGCTAATATAATGAGCATTAGAATTAAGTTTCTTTATTAACTATTTAATGCTCCTATAACTTTTATAATGGTAAAAAAAACAGGAGGACATGATGATATTTACTATTTTTACACACCAGAGGCTTTTAAATGAATTGTGAATCTAAAATATGCGTGTTAGAGAATGTACAAATGGTTAACATTGTTTGTGTCATATCAGTCAAAAAAGCAGTTTTTTTGTTGTTGTTTTTAGCTAACTTAGTTAGTTGTTATTCTTGGCTGAATAACTCTAGAAGGTTTTAAAAGCCCTTTAAAATTAAATATGTACACAGTTTGGATTAAATGAAAGTATAGTGAAATTTTTTAATTAGCATGTTTTTGTGTTTTGCTTTGGTACCGAAATTGGTACCGAGAACCGTGGATTTTCACTGGTATTGGTACCGAATACTGAAATTTTGGTACCGTGACAACACTAAATAATAGAGGACAAAACAGGAGAATCCAGCACAATGAAGCAGTGATGTGTCTGTGATGCAGACAGTGTGATCCACTCAGCCTCATACAGAGAGTTTCTGGCTGATGATCAGCACTCCTGCAAAGCCATGTGTTTCTAAGTGAAAGAAAATTAACAGGAAGTAATATATGGTGGGCCTATGGTGGGTTTAACTAATGCAATAAAAATAAATAAATAATAATAATAATAAACCTTAAAATGTTAAAATATATACTTTATTAACATTTAATAAACATATGTCTACATACACATAAATAGACTATTTTCATTAATCTTAAAACATATAATTACTAATTTAATAATTAAATGAATAAAGATGAAATAATGATAATTCTTTATTCCCAATATATATTAGGAATAAATGAAAAATAAACAATAAAAAAAGATAAATTATATACTTTTTTATTTTTATATTATTCATCCTGCAGCCAATGTTGTTAGCAGAAAAATAAGTCGATTAATTAATAATAATTACAAAAGCATCTATAAAATATAGCTAAGAGAGAGAGAGATAAATGGATAGATGGATAGAGGGAGGCAGGGAGGGATGGATGGGGAGAGAGAGAGAGATAGATAGATAGATAGAGACGGAGAGAGGGAGGGATGGATGGAGGGAGAAAGAGAGAGAGATAGATAGATATATAGATAGAGAGAGAGAGAGGGAGGGATGGATGGAGGGAGAAAGAGAGAGATAGACAGATAGATTAAAAAAATTAACAACTGTATTGTTTTAATTACAAAAAATATATATACACTACATTAAAAAATGTTTTTTTTAATTAAAAACAAAAACTCAAAAGCAAAATAGATAGAGAGAGAGAGAGGGAGGGATGGATGGAGGGAGAAAGAGAGAGATAGACAGATAGAGAGATAGAGAGAGAGAGACGGAGAGAGGGATGGATGGAGGGAGAGAGAAAGAGAGAGATGGATGCATTACAGTAATTGAGTGGCACTGCCCCTTGATTTTGGGGTGAAATACAGTGTGGACATGAAATCAGCACTGACTGTATGTGACCCTGTGAGTGAAGTGGGTGTTATAGAGACACTCACCAGGTTCTGCTCACAGAGACCCAGAAACTGCTGGAACTTCTGAGACATCAAGAGCTGAGCGCTGCCGACGGCACTGCGGACCTTCCCCAAAACTACAGCAACACAGAGACACACAGCAGCTCACGCTCAACATCACCATCATCATCACCTCCATTTCCATTCTCTCGCCACTCATGCCAGGTTCAAATCTAATGACTTTAATCACCGGCTCCAGGAGTACAAATGAGCAGACAAGAGGCGTCTCTGATTAAAGCTGGTTAATGAGGGACTGATTTCATCCGTTATTCCTGGATCCGCTGGGCATCTGAATGAAGCTCCTGAGATAAACCTGCTACAATTAACGGCAGCTTCCTGCACATTTCACTCCTAACTAAAAATTTAAAGCTGAGCTGTTATAAAAATGTAGAAATATATATATATATATATATATATATATATATTATTACTGTATTTTTTATAAGTATATTATACTTAGACACACACAAATTTACATAAACACACTTGTATATTTATATAAATAAAGGTAAATAAAATCATTTTTTTATCATGTATATAATGAAATAATTATATATAAATTATGTATTATAATAATGTCAATAATTTATTATTGACATTGAATAATCCTTTATTCAATTATTAATGTTAATCTTTATCGATTAGTTGAGTAATTAAATAGATTAACTGAACTGAAATGAATTATATATTTGAATAATTACATTTAAATTAATTAAATTGCCTCAACCCAAAAGGAACTGATTGGATAATAATTATTCATTGCCAATTAATTTATCTTATTTCATTGAGCAATTAAATAGATTTCCAAATAATAAAATAAATAATAATAATAATAATACTTAATTAAATTCGTTTTTGTTATTATTAGTAGTAGTAATAGTAGTATTAATTATATTGTTATTAGGGTTGGGCATCGTTTGAATTGTATCAATTCTGACTCCGATTCCAGTTATCGATTCCGATTCTTTTCGATTCCAATGTGATTAAAAAAATGATATTAAACATATTTATTCTGTCTATTTTTGCAAACCATTTAGTTGCAGCTGATTACCATGAACAAAAATCAACAGGCTACATAAAAACTGGACTCGTTTATGAACTGTTTGTGCGCAAAATAGAGCTGCATGATTCTGGATAATTTCTTTTTTAAATGGAAGTTTTTATTATTATTATTTTGTTTTTGTTTTTAAATGGAAGAAAAAAACAATTAAGACAACTAAAGTAAACAAAGATGTACTTGTTTCATTACTGGATGAATCAGTGTTTTTGAACAAATCTCTTGTATGATTCAAAGACAAATATATTTTAACAGTCCCTTTTCGCCACCTACTGGTGTAACAATGTAATTGATAAATCTTTATTTGAAGTGTCAAATTACTTTCAAAAGGTGATTTACTCCATTGAATTGATCCATCAGGAATAGACTGGATGATGAAATGTTGTATTTGTATGACGGTGGCATCTCACCCTCCTCTGACAGCGGTTTGTCTTTGGTATCCTGGTCCATCTGCTGACACCAGGCCTCCATGCGCTCGGTCTCGGCCTGCAGAAGCTTCTGGAACCAGCACCCGTCCCTGAGGCACGCCGCGCCCCCGGGCTGCTCCACAGCCCCGTTCACGCTCCCAGCCTGCAGAGACGGGTCGGGCGGCGGGAGGGAGGACAGGTCTAGCGCCTGGTCCAGCTTCTCCTGCAGTGAGGGTTTGAGAATGCTGCCCCAGTCCAGACTCTGGTGGGGTGTCTTGTTCTGCGAGGGTTTACCGTCGGACTGCTCCTGAGATTCAGCCTCCGTCGTCTCCTGTCTAGACGCCATGCTAGTAAAGCGACTGAGTCTGGACGCACAGAGAAAAGAGACCCGTTAAAGACACCAACCAACACTCAAACTACACACTTCCATTAGTTTATGAATTTTCTGTTATTATATCTTAACTAATTAAGAATTTTAAATCGATTTATAAATATCAATTTGACAGATATCAATAAAGCCTCCCTAGTTTACATGTTGTTAGATATTCTCCATTTCATTGGACTGTCTTAGAAAATAAAAAGGGCCGGGAGATAGACAGACAGCTGGTGTGTGGGAGACAGCACACTTACAGAGACATGTAAATGAGAGAGATATGAAAATAGACTGCAACCGAGAGCGCCAGGAAACAAAGCGAGTGGGAGATGCGCACAGAATCTCATTATCTCCAGCCGTCTGCACTGAATCATTATTTGTGAGTGTTTTCAGCGCCATACATGGCTGAGAAACTCTGCTGCTGACTCACACACACACACACTCACTCACACACACACACACAGCGATCACACAGCGCTTTTGTGAGAAGTGCTGCTGTCAACATGCGTATCAAATTCCAAAGTGCTAAACGGAGGCGCAACTTTTCTTTTCTGGAGGATGCAAAAGGCGGAAAGGAAACTCACGGTCTGCCGTCTTCAACCTGAACCCCGATGGACTGGAACCTGGTGGTGGGAGTTTGTTCCTCTTTCAGAATCGGCTGCACACAATCCACCTGCCACAAAAGAAACAACTCAGATCCAATACATCTAGAATTTAAAGTAGTTATGAATCAGCTCCAATAAGCTCAACATAGCACTAAGGTCACGGACTGATTCAGTGAAACGGCTTGAGTGTAAAGGGGTCGTTTGATGAAAAACAGGTTCTTTCCTGCTCTTTTGAAAAGTCTGATATGCTATGTGATGTAGTTAATATTCATAACTCACACCTCCCTCGTTAGTTTACCCAGAACATTTAAATGAGTAAAATACAAAACCTCTCATTCAGAATTAGTCATGGTGTGTCACATTCATGAGCTCGTTAACATACAACCGCCAACATTTACATATCAGAGCCTACGGTATTCAACAAATAAGCCTGAATGACTGTATGAATTGAACATATAAGATCATAAATTGATTTCTACACATCCTATAACAATACAGACAATATCTACTACGCTATAAAACATTCTTTCATAAATAAAAAAAAAATGCATAAATACCAATACAATTTTAAACATGATTATTTATATATATAAAATAAAATAATTTACATTTTTAGAATTGTAAAATATCATAAAATTTTACATGACCAATAAAATTTTATTTTATTATAGTTATTGTTTGTGTAATATATGTGACCTGGGATGGCAAAATGAGTCACAATGAGCACATTTTCAAAAATGTGTTACTGTAAGATCCTTTTCATGGCTTATCGCTCTTAATAACTCTTTTAACATCAATCAAGTCCTGCCATTTATTTTCTCATTCCTGCATGTTCCTTTCAAAACCGAAACCAAAACGTCAGACGCAGAAGTGCTTCGCTTGGATAAACAACTTTTTCAAACAAAGAAGGTACAGAAAACATACAAATAAGGATCATTTTAGATGTTTAATTACTATGTGGAGCACTGGGTTCACTAGACGAGGCCTTAATGGACTCATTTTTGTGAAAATTCAACCAAATCGACATTTTTCACTAGAGATGCACCGATTGCAATTTTCTTGGCCGATTCCGATTTCTCGATAGTGTGATACCGATTTTTGCCAATTCCAATTTTCTTTCTAAGAACTATCATTGACAGCATATACAAACAAAAATCTACTTTTCTTCAACGCAAAGTTTTATTTTCATTAAAAAAACACAAGTAAAAGTCAGTAATAAAATAAGAACAAATAAAAAAATGGCAAACAACAGCACAAATAAATGCAATAGAATAAAGAGAGGCTGACGTTATTGCCTGTGCCGCTGGTAACAAAACGGATCGGCTCGAAATCGGAAATAAGTGAGACTGACCGACCGATCACCGATCCGGGCCGATCATGAGGAAAATCGGCCGATTCCGATCCCTGGCCGATCGATCGGTGCATCTCTAACACATACATATACTACGCAAACACAAACTTTTCTTTTGGATGCGATTAATCGTGATTAATCGTTTGACAGCACTAGTAAGAAGCCACATCATCTCACAGAAGGATTAATTTCAAACACTCGACTGACGTTATGAAGTGAGTTTGGAGTAAAAACATGTTATTAAATGTGGTATTTTCACGTGCTTTCAGATGGAGCAGCATTTACTACACAGAGCCGTATTTCACCGAGAAGCTACGCAAACAGCTGTCATTATCGTGAACGATTTCTTCGATTTCATAATCGCATTAATATATCGTCTGCAAATTTGTTTTGCGTAGCTTGTCAGAGAACTACGGCTCGGTGTAGTAAATGCTGCTCCATCTGAAAGCACATGATGGAGATTTACTACTGATTACAGAACCGGCTTTACTGATAAGATGCGCATGACAATCGCATGCGATTTATGGTGCAGCCCTAGCATAAAAGCATAATGACGACATCATAAATATTCACACACACACACACACACCTGAATGCCAATGGAGGACAGTTTTCTTTTGGGCGGGGCTTGCGATTTGTTGGGTGCCACTGTGAGGCTTGCGGGCTCGTTTTTGGCGTCTGGGGCAGGAGAGGGCGGGACGATGGCGGGAGGAGGCGTGGTCACTCTGGCGCTGGGCAAGGGCACGGGTTCCCGCGGGGCAGGGATGGGGGGCAGGATGGGCTGCCGCTTGGCGCACTTGACCAGACTCCCTGTCCGAGAGCTGGCGATGCTGTCGGAGGAGTTGCTGCGTCCTGATTGGCTGTTGACCTCGCTGCGCTGGTCCTGGCTGTCCAGGTACGTGTCCTGGGCCGATTCGGTGCTGCTCTGGACCGTCACCGCGATGTAGGGTTTGAAGGTGGTTCGAGGAGGAATAGGCGGAGGATTCTTCTTACAGACGGCCGTACACGTGGAGACTGAAAAACACAAGAAGATGGACTGTCAGAATGCTCCCACAACCCCAGTACAAAGTCTCTTCACACGTCTTTTCCCAGCAGCCCCTGCTTTGGAGCCACAGGAAGAGATGAGACAAAGACAGGCATTTACATACTGAAATCTGGACAGCATTCCGCTCATGCCAGACAGCGTCAGGAATGTGTCGCCCACAAAACATGGGCTGAAATCTGCTGACAAGACTCTGGGTTTGGTACGGCGTGTCATGAAGCCTGATGATAACGCTCGGCGGTGTATTATTAGCCTGCTGAACAGTGTAGGAGAAGCTACTTTGAAAGCATACATAAGCTGGTAGGCGGTTGGACCAAAATCTATTCCACCGTATGAGTCATTTTAAATCACCATACAGTTATTTTTGCTGGAAATTATATATTATAACAAAATGATACAGAGATGGGCCAGTGTTTGACAATCTAGTGGCTTAAATACTTTTTTAAAAAAAAGTTTTTTATCAGATTATTGGTAACAATTAAAGGGTAAGTTTGATAGTGCAGAAACAGCTACATATTATGAAAATAAAAGCAAAGAAAAACACTCGAAACCTCACACATATGAATCAGAGCCATGTGTGACAAATAAAATACAAATTAACAGTAAAAAAAATTATATATATATATATATATATGCTGCCTTGATGAACATAAGAAAATATTTAAAAAATGTCGAAAGATGTAAAAACACAAAAAAACAAACAAATAGAATCCAAACTTTCTTTATATATATCTGAAATCCCTGAACTAAAAAACAAAAATATTCCAACA